ACACATCTGGAAACACTATGTGATTGTTACTGAATTAAGTAGAAAAATTAAAGTAAGCAATAGCAAAAGTGTATTTATGTCTAGAATTTAAATAGCCAACACTCCCTCTTCTCTGCTAGTTTGAAACGCACAGGTAAAGGTATAGGACCCTTGGACAGTCAAGTCCAGTCAAAGGCGACTATGGGGTTGTGGCGCTCATCTCGCTTCAGGCCGAGGGAGCTGGCGATTGTCCAGTTTTCTGGGTCATGTGGCCAGCATGACTAAACCGCTTCTGGCGCAATGGAACACCGTGATGGAAACCAGAGCGCATGGAAACACCATTTACCTTCCCATCACAGTGGTACCTATTTATCCACTCACACTGGTAAGCTCTTGAACTGCTAGGTTGGCAGAAGCTGGGACACAGCAATGGGAGCTCACCCTGTCGCAGAGTTTTGAACCGCCGGCCTTCTGATCGGCAAGCCCAAGAGGCTCAGTAGTCTATTGACAAAGCCTCAGCAGAGACACAAGACTCTGCACAATCTGTCCCACTTGGCTTAGTGAAACTGGAGGACACATTCATGACTTGCCAGAAGCAGACCAATGGCAACTTTCCACCTTTTAAGACTGCATTCTGCAACAGACACTAAGGAATATATCCAACCTAGTACTATATGAATGTTGTGTTAGTGCACAGATTCCTGCTTGCACGATACAATCAGCTCGTCTCCTCCCCTACCTGCCCCCTAAATCTGTTCATGGTTCCCCCAATCCTCTGGAGCAGATTTGGAGAGGTACAGGGCTTGAATGAGAGAAAGAGAACTCCAGATGCAAAAGTACCATATTTTTCGCCCTATAGGACGCACTTTTCCCCCTCCAAAAATGAAGGGGAAATGTGTGTGCGTCCTATGGGGTGAATACAGGCTTTCGCTGAAGCCTGGAGAGCGAGAGGGGTCGGTGCGCACCGACCCCTCTTGCTCTCCAGGCTTCAGGAAGCTCCGCGCCGGGCTCCCGAGGGTTGCGCAGAGCTGCCTGCGCTCCCGGGCTCGGCGCAGCTCCGCGCAATCCTCCGGAGCCCAACGCCAAGCCGGGCTCCCGAGGGTTCCACGGAGCTGCCTGCGCTCCCGAGGGTTCCGCGGAGCTGCCCCAGCCCTGCGCAAGCTCCCAGAGCGATGCCGAAGCTGCGCTCAGCTTCGGCATCGCTCTGGCTCCCGTTCTGGGGGCTGGGGTCAGGGGAAGCTCGGGCTTCCCCCGCCCCAGCCCCGCGCCTGTACGGGGGAAAAAATAATTTCCCCCCCTTTATTTCCCCCCCCCAAATCTAGGTGCGTCCTATGGGCCGGAGCGTCCAATAGGGCGAAAAATATGGTATATATCCTTGCTATGACAGGACACAGTAGTTGGCTACTGTCCCATCAGTTAGTCAGAAATGCTAATTTCAAGTTTTACACCGTACACCAAGGGCTTTATCATCCACAAACTGTAGCAATGTCCCACAGTCCATTGTATGGACTGTTAGTAAACTGTTAGTATGTTAGTAAACATGCCATGATCAACACTATCAAAGACCATAGAAAGATTAACAAGATTGATTGGGTACAGTTCTCTTTATTAATCTCTAATCTGATTTGAGATTATGGCAGTCTCAATGTCAGGTAAATGAGGCTGGCCATGATGGCTATGTTCTACCTACAATTTCAGAGGAAGTGTGCCTCTGAATAGCAACTGCTGGGAATCGCAAGTGGGAAGAGCGCTGTTGCACTCAGGTCTCTTAGGCACCTGGTCAGCCACTGTGAGAACAGAATACTGGTGATCCAGCAGGGCTCTCGGTGTCATGCTCAGTTTAGAATACAGATCCTCAGTGCAGAGAACTGGTGTCCAGGTGTGGATTAAGCTGCCAAGAGAGACCACTCACTCAACCACCTTTCCACCCACAGATTATATATAGATGGAGAAGTGAGTGGAGTGGAAAATACACAACTAGGATAGAACTGCCCACCCACCCACTGCAGTTAGGAGCCAAAAAGCTCCCACTACTCAAACGCTTTATTTGGGATTTGCTCTGGGAGGGTAAACTGCACAGGATCACAACCTTATTAAACAGTGAATAAAAATCAATCTCCCAAATATTTATCACTGCAACATGAAACATGCAGATCTTGTTTCTTCTGCAACAGCCTTAACACAAAATCCCTCAAAATCATCTAATAAAAAAGCATTCCATGCCAAATAGCAATTCACTTCCTCATATGCCATTGCATGTATTTTCATACTACACTACAGATGGCAAATGGTAGCATGCTTAACTATTATTTTTACTTCAAATATGAACCAACAAACTATCAACTTAATTCTAGAATTCAACCTGAAAGTGTCAAAAACATAGTAAATATTTGTTTAGTGTTAGGATCATTTGCATTTACTGCACAAATGTAATCTAAAAAATGATGGAGAGTATGTTTGAGCACAGAAGAACAAAAAAATTCAATTCCGGTTGCCACGTTTTCTCTGCAAATCTGGATAAATCAAATTCCTTGACCACCAATATGGAATTAATTCTAACTTAAGCATGTATATTCCCTTTCCATATAGCTGGTAATGCCAATTCATTCACACACACATCATAGCCAGGTAAGTTCATCCAACTACTTAGGGCTACATGTGTACTTCATTTTTGGATCTGTCTTTATACTGTATTTCAACTCCTTCAGGGGCTACAGTTCTATGCACACCCTTTTCCAGTGTGGCTTAAACTCAAGTAGTCAGTCTGATGAAGATTTGTTTAAACTACAGTATAGGTCATAAAGGAAGAATCACTTCAGCAGCATAAAGTTGACCTGGACCAATATGGATATTCTTATTATAACCAATGAAAAGGAATCAAGCAAAGAGCCCTGCTGGATCAAACCAAATGCTTATCTGGTCCAGCGTTCTGTTCTCAGGAGAGCAAACCAGATGCATTTGAGAGGCCCAAAGCAGGACACAAGCACAATTGCCCTCTCCTGCTGTTTCTCCTTAGCAACTGGTATTCAGGGGCATGCTGTGTCTGATCCTGGAGGTAGCAGTCATCTTGACTAGTAGCCATTGAGACTTATCCTTCATGATTTCACCCAATCCCATTTCAGAGCCATCACAGCCGGTAACAGACTCCACAGTTTGAGGCCCCATCTGCAGTATACATTTAAAGCACTTTAAACAGTCATGTTTCTCCACACACACACACACACACCTCTCGCACAAGATCCCAGGAACTGTAGTTTGTTAAGAGTCCTCTGGGAAGCACCCTATTCCCCACATGAAGCTACAATTCCTAGAAGGATTTAAGAGCCAATCACTCTTCCCAGGGAACTTGGGAAATTGTATCTCTGAGGGGAAACAGGTCTCCCAACAACACTGAGCACTCTCAACAAACTACAGTTCCCAGGATTGTTTGAGAGAAGGTTGAACTGCTTAAAGTCCTATGTAAGTGCTTTAGATTTACAATGCAGGTGAAGCCTAATTTACATGTTGTGTGAAGAAATTCTTTCCTTTGTATGCCCTGAATCTGCGATCATTCAGCTTCCCTAGGTTTTGAGACACTTCTCCCTACTCATTTTCACCACACAAGACATCATTTTTTTCTAACTTAGTTTTATTCATCTTTAAACACGGTTGCATTGAGGTGTATCTTTGTTTACATTAGAGCATATGACGTGCAACAACTATATAGTTAAAAACAAAAGCAAAACAGCAATGAACACACAGATAAACATTTCTGAATAGATTAACAAAGTTGTGTCAAAGCATACATGCCAAAATTATTATTACAGATATGAAATGATGTCTAGTAATCATTATTCCTTAGATTGGGGACCACAAGTAATTAAGCAAAAGGTCTTTTGTAACAACAATAATCAGAATTTATAGGAATTTACAGGAACCAGGCATCATTTTACCCACCTCTTTCATGTTCCCCTCACCCACTTTGCTTTTTTCACTAAGCTAAAAAACCTCTGGACTTGCCCCCGTTTCTGATCATTTGTGGGGGTGGGGGAGAGAGAGAGATCAGTTTCTGATCATTTGTGTTGGGGAGATATATGTATAGCTGAAGAATAGGTTTGCAACATCCACCGCACCCTTCTCTAGGGGAGCAGGAAAGCACGCAAAAACGAGGACCCACGCAGTGCTGACTGTTGATTACTTCCTGCCCGGAAAGGCATCGTGGATGCGTCCTGCAAACCAAACGTCCATATACCTCCCTGTCGTCCACGTACCCGCACCAAGCGCTCATAGGCACAAGTCGCGCAGCCACCCTCCCTCGGAGCCCCTTCCAGTCCCACGCGTCCGCCCGGCCCCATCCCAAAGACAGGCCTCCCGGTGCAACGTCCTCGTGACCGCTGCACCGCTTTCTTTCCCCCCGTGCATGTTGTTGCACGGCAAGCTGAAGCTGCAACCGGTTGCGGACCGCGCGGCCTCTCCCTCCGTTGCCTTGCACAGGGCGAAAAGAACGGAAGGCGAGAAGACACAGACGCGACCCTCCCGCCCGCCCGCCTGGCCTCTCCTCCTCCTTCCCCGCGACGCCGCTTCCAAAGTCACTCCGTTCTTTGGCGGCCCGCCCCTACGTTCCATCCCCGAACGCTCGCCGTCCTCTGCGACCGCCCATTGGGCCGCGGCCGCGTCACTCACCGGATTTAATGAAACGGGGAGGGGTGGAGGGAAAGAAAAAAGAGCGAGCGGGCAGGCAGGCAGGGAAGCGAAGGAGGCGCTGGAAGGGGAGGGAGAGAGGAAGGGGCCGAGCTCAGCGCTCGCCCCAACAGAAAAGGAGGGGGGAGGGAAGCGAGGCGGCTACTTACTTACCTGCCCGCCCAGCCGCGCCCTCGGGCGAGCGTTGTGCAAAGAGGCGCCCCCCCCCACAGTCGCCCCCTTCCTCGGCGAGGGCTCCGTCCGCGGCTCCCCCGGCCGGCGCCCGCCCGCCCGCTGCCCTCCCCTCGCTCGCTCCGCAGCCATTTTCCGTGGCCACCTTGGCTACCGAAGGGCTGACTCACCTCGTCGCTGCGGGGCCCTGGCTCGTCGTCTGGGGGCAGCCCGGCTCTGCCCGCGGCGGCGGCGGCCCTCCGCGGCGCCCGCTGCCTCGTCGCCGTCCCCCTCCTTCGGCGCCGGCCCGGCCAGCCCAGCCTGGCGCGCTAGTCCCAGGCGAGGACGGGTCCCCCGGGCGGGCCGGGCTTGGCGGCGGAGAAGGAGGCGGCGGCGGCGGCTCCCTCCCTCCCGGCCGTGACCACCATCTTATTAGCACAGGAAATGACATGGCGAACGGAAGAGAGGGGCGTTCGGGGGCCGAGCCCGGGGACCCCCCGAACCGGGAGGAGGAGGAGGGAAGCGACGCGGGCTGGCTGGCGTCGAGGCCCGGCCTCCTCGCCGCTGCTGGGGGAGCCCTGCACACAGGCACGCACGCCCCGAAATGCCGCCTTGCTCGCCCGCCCGCCCCCCTCGCTTCTCCTCTCCTTCGTTCGCCAGCCCGCCTGGCAGCCAAACACCCCCGCCATGCTCCTCCGATGCCTGCAGCAGCCGCAGCCGCGCGAGTCCTCCCCCGAAGCAGAGCAGCGTCCGCGGCAAATGCAGCGCGAGCCGAGCAGCAACCTGCGCTCGCATTTTGTGCGGGCTTTTCTTTCCCCTCTTCTTCTGCAGCGTTGCGCGCTCGCTCTTTGCAGCCCACCCCCAAAGCAGAGAAAAGTTGACGGCCGCCTGACCAGAGTTGCCTCTCTTTTGACATTGCAACAGCCCGATCCTTTGCGTGTTTCTTCGGAAGTCGCGCTCCTGGGGTTCGGAAGGGGCTTACTCTTTTGTAAATGCGGATAGCGTCCCATGCAAGTTTACTGGGAAGTATCTTCCCGCACCCAAATCTCGACCCACTACCCAAAAACGATTTCCTCTACTGTAAAGGATGGCGGCCCGATCCAATGCATGTTTACCCGGGAGTAGGAGTAAGTGAGATAATGGGACTCGCTCTCCTGAAATACTAGGTCGCAGTTTATTCTGTTCCCATTACTGGTGGCGGTTCTTTCTCCTTTTAACCTGCCGACCTTACAATCGCTACTGTTTTCTTTGGCCTATCCCGTTTTGATTTTGATCCTATGATGACCTTTCTGAAAAGGAAAGCAAAGGAGCCTGTGGAAGCTCCGTTATATTAGTAATGCTATGCGTAACGTGCAGCGATTTAAACACTGACGTCTCTATTCTAATGAGGCAGGTCCCGTCCAACTGGCTTTGACGTGCATGTAAGCCTGCTATCCTATACGTGCGAGAAATCCCAGTAAACCTAATAGGACTTCCAAATAAAATCCTGGAGAGCTGCTGTTACTTAGTACTATATATTGTAGCCAATACTAAACTACATGCACCAGCGTTATAACGTAGCCTGCTATGTACAGGATCTCTGCTTGTTTTTAAACCAGCCTGCAGAGTTTGAACCCTCAGTCTGCAGTGAACTATCTGCAAAGAACTCACCATTCTTAGCGTTTTAAGCATTTGCAGGGAGACTCCTGTTTAGTAATAAGGTTTATTAAATAGCACTTATCATATGAAAGCAAAAACATATCACTTGTGGGACTTGCAGGTGTGCCATGCCTCTTGTGCTGAAATGATCAATAGTAATTAGTTGAGAGAGCATATTGATGCCACATAGTACTGATTTATCTGAATTATCTGTTCAGTGGATTAGAAGTCATACAGGGGAAAGGGGCTGGGGGGAAAACAACTTGAGTTTTAAAATGACTTTTCTGGGGAAGATTTAGTGAGAGCATATGCATTGCACAGCTGAACCAGGCCACAATTCATTTAATTCTTTTGGCATGGCCTGCCATTAACCTCTGGATGCTCAGAAGCATCAGGTGAACACAGTGGACATTATCTGTTTGGCAACAATGTATCCGGTACTCAAAGGTGTATACAGTATATAACTTAGGAACATAATGGGCATTGAGGTTTGATTTGGGTACTGCAGCTAATAGCTATTGAAGGTTCTACTCATGGATTTGTCATTAGAAACCCATCTAGACAAATGGCTTGTGGCAGTGAATTTCATAGTTTGTAACTATGCACCAGCGAATTTCCTTTTGTGTTATGTCAATTTGCATCCCAGGGACATAGGGAGCTGCCTTCTATCAAGTCAGACAATTGGTCCATCTAGCTCGGGTTGTCTACACTGACTGCCAGCAGCTCTCTGGAGTTTCACATAGGGGACATACCTAGCCCAAGTTGAAGATGCCAGGATTAAACCTGGCACCTTCTGTATGGAAAGCAGATGCTTGAGCAGAAGCTACAACCCTTCATGATCCTATGCATTCCACATGTGCAGATAGAAATACAGTAGTTGAAACCTGGACTGTGCCACCTCAGAATGCATCTCAGGTGGGTAGGCATTGTAATTTTGTAATGCTACCCCCATGGGAAAAGAAAAGTAGCATATTGGGGAGAAGGCTATGGTAAATTTATCTCTTATAAACTAATTTGCACTGTGAGGGAATGATGTTTTGGTGTGTTTATTTTAAAAAAAATCATTTTCTTTAAAGGACCTTTTGATGTCCAAGGTGGCAAAGTCCAGCATTCTACAATTTTCGGCTGCAATACTAACCCCACATATTAGTCCCATTTAATTCAATAGGTCTTATTTCTGATCATTAGACATGGTTGGGATTATGCTGTCAGACTGCCACCACAATGTGTAGAGTAGATTTTAGTTCGCCCAGTTCAGTAGCACATTCCATGCTTTCCAAAGTTATAAAATCTGGGATTCTTGTAACGTTGATATTTCCAAAGCTGGAACATTTTGTTGCCACAAGTTCACTGTCCCTGCTTCTGTAATGGCTCGCTGTGGCCTATGAAATGATGCCAAGGTAGAGATGTCCCTTCCCCATGGGGAAGAAAAGACTCGTTGAATAATGTGATGAGTTGTATTTATATACCAATAGATAGGATGAATTCTATAAAAGAAGATTGCCTGCTGTGTATGTGCTTGATGCAACTTTGCTTGGGGAATGCTTCAGTGTGTGTGACTGGCACTTTCCTTTTGTAACCACCATAATTTGTGTTCATACATTGACAGGATTATTGTAATAACCTGCAGTTTCATAAGAGTATATATTTAAAGAAGATTAATAAATGAGCAAATTAGGTTAATTTGGATATGCAGAAGATATTAGAATTACCGGTAAATTTAAGGAACGGCAGAAAGAGGAGGAAGGAAGTCAAGTTTTGAAATGCCAAAATGGTTGTAAAATTAATAAAATGTATAAAATTAGTGAAATGTATAAACTTGAAAAGCAGAAATAAAATTTAAATAATAATAATTTGTGTTCATAGTGTTCCATTCCTAGAACTGCCACAGTGCCTGGTGGCACTGCTGGAATTTTTTTTCCTCTGGTGGTCAGGCAACTCTCGCCAACCATAGGCTGCCAATTACCAATTAGCTTTTACTGGTGAAATATATTATTGAATTATGGCAATTATATGACTTTATGTATCGCAATTAGATGACTTATGGCCCTAAAATAAGACTTGATTGTGTTTTTTCTCCTTCAGCTTCTCTCTCTCTCTCTGTGCACTTTCTGAAGATTTGGTCCATTTAAAATCCATTTTGTCAATAATTAGATGCTTTAAAATGTTCAATATTTGACCCAGCTTAAAAGTCCCAGTAGGTCTCTTGGAGACAGGCATAGAGATTAAATCACTGATGGGGAAGCCTTGCCTCTCCAGGTAGACTCCCATCAACTCCAGCTAGCATAGTCCGGGGTCAGGGCAAAGAATTTCCCCATCCCTGTACTAGGAAGCTCTCCTGCTTAAGTTCCATTGATATGAATGGTGTCTTTGCAAGGGCAAAGTGTCTATAGTTTGGGTGACATCCAATTAATACTTGCATTAGACCCTTTGGGCGTGATCCACCTACCAAACAGATCACAGGCACATCCAACAGTACTTGCAATGGGACTTCCCCCCACCCTCTCTTCTCTCTGTGGGCTCCCTCCAAACACAAATGTGTACCCCTGCATCTCCCCAGAAAAAAGCACTGCTGAATAGCATCCTGTGTCTACCACTTTCCTGACATACTTTTAAAAAAGCTAGACCCTCTAATACTTTTTTCCTTACTATGACCCCAGTTTGTTTTATAAATAATTTCTGATCATCTTTAGTTCTTGATCCCATCCCCATGCAACCGCCTGGGTCTTGTTTGAATAATCTCAGCAAGCAATAAATAAATGATTAAAAACAACATCAAATAAATTAGCCATGCCTTGTTGAGGATCCAATTTTTAAATATATACTTGAATTGATGCAGTGTGCACTGTACCGAATTTCGCCAGCAGTTCCCCCTGTGTGACTGTGTGCCCTCACTTGAGCCATTTGTGATTTTGCTGCAGCACAAACAAAACAAATTATTCAAAGTCATTCTTCATTTGCTGTACGCTCCCCTTGGAACACAGATCTAAACTAGGAAAGAGAAACACATTAGCAAAACAAGACAGACTTGGTAAGGAGAAAACGATGTTAAAAAATGCTTTCCCTAGTAATAAGTGTCAACACAATTAGATGCTTATAGCACATTCCTCTTTAGAGGAACTTGTTTTCTTTAATGACACACTCTTCTGGCTAATAGGTAAAATAGACTGGTAAATTGTATTGCGGCAAGCTACCCATGCATTGTTCGCACTTGAGACAGGTGTGAAGCCTCATGTGTGAATATTGGGTGTGGTTAGTCATTGAAGGCTGCAATCTTCTACAGTGGTACCTCAGGTTAAGTACTTAATTCGTTCCGGAGGTCTGTACTTAACCTGAAACTGTTCTTAACCTGAAGCACCACTTTAGCTAATGGGGCCTTCTGCTGCTGCCGCGCCGCCGGAGCACGATTTCTGTTCTCATCCTGATGCAAAGTTCTTAACCTGAAGCACTATTTCTGGGTTAGTAGAGTCTGTAACCTGAAGCGTATGTAACCTGAGGTACCACTGTACATGAGAGTAAGTGCAAAGGAACTGAATGAGGCTTACTTCTGAGCAAAGATTATGGGATTTTAGTGCAAATTAATTTGGGACCAAGTTACCTGAAATACTGGTTTCTTCCATACGTACCTACCCAACTTTTAAGAT